AATTTTCTTTTGAACACAAATGCGGCACAATGCGTTTTAAGTGCCTTAATTTTTACCCATGAATTTACAATTTTGGGGTTATGGTGTGATTTAAGTATTATTTACAATAAATATCTTTAATATGATACATAACATGATAGATTTAACGTATATGTACAGGGTATTTACATTTATGGGGTTATGGTGTGGTTTAAGTTTTATTTACAAAAAATATCTTTAATATGATATATAACATGCAGTGCTGGACTGAGCCCACCTATCCACCTGTCCGTGACAGGTGGGCCTAAGCTCATAACAAAAAAGGGGGCCTAAGCCTTTAAAGTAAAAAGAAAAAAAAAGAAAAGAGAAAGAAAGGAGAGGGAGAGGAAAGAAAAGAAAGAAGGAAGGAGAGGACAGGACACAGGGCGTGAGAAAGAAAAGATAGGAAAAAAATGACTGACAAACAACACAAAAAAAAGAAGTGTACTACAAGAAAAGAACTTGATGAGTTTGACCTCATTATACCGAGAACCGTATAATTCATCATTTCTTTTTGACACTGAAGAGAATTCTCAGATTCATCTATAGATAGTACTCTTAGGTCATTCTGTTATCTAATTGTATTAGGAAATCAAAAATTTGCCTTCTTCTGCTTTGGTCTGAAATGCTTGGAAAATGGGTTTGCTGTTCTCAATTTTCAAAATTTTCATTGGGGGAGAAACGATGGTTAAGACAGTGATTGATAATCTGTTTAAAAACGACAAGGAAGACTATTGAGGAAATAACTTTTTTTTTGTTTCATTTTCTTTAACAATAACTTGACATTTATAACTTTGGATATATTTTAAAACATGATAATCTTTCAATATCAAGTAACCCATTACAGGAAATAACCTTGTGATCGTCTAGTATTGTCTCTGGTTACGTTTACTTAGGACTCCACTTTAAATCTTGTGAATTTATTATAGCTTATTCAGTTTATGGTTATAGTTTATGGTTAACATATTTACAATTATGGGGTTATGGGGTTATGGTGTAATTTAAAAAGTATTTACAATAAATTAAAGATAGTGCGCGCTTCTTACGAGGTCTTGCATGTTTTTTTAGCATTATAAACCCACCAATAGGCTTATAGGTCTTATTGAAACGGTTATTATTGGATTGAAAGAATGATACACTCGAAAACTTGTAATTTTCATTTGAAATTTTTCGTTGCCCGAACCCAAGGTGTCGAAATGATTGTGCTGTGTTTTGGTTGTAACATTTGCTTGTCAAAATCTCTGTTAAAGTTAAACCACCGCCGCAACAGCTTCACTGGGTTCGTCCAACACGTTACGAAATCCATGCTGTTTTGCACCGAGTCGAAAATACAAGTAAATACGTCAATTTTTTCAAGAGATAACTTTTTTGTACAATAATTGTACATTTAATTGTACAATAGATTTTATTTAACGGGGGGGGGGGGTGATTTCACACAACCAGCTAAGTTTATAATAACCAAAGTTAAGTAGTATGTTCATAATCGAAGAAATGCGTTTAAAAGTTAAGAAAGTTCAGACAGTAACAGTTCTTCGTGTGCTCTAAATAGAACATGTTCCACACTATGCTGTAAATGCAGTGAAATGCGACTTTTATTTTTTAGGAAGCAAAAGACTAGCAGACCAGTTGCTACAATTCCTGGTCTAATTCCCCTGGAGAACCTAAATTAACCTCCTAGATATATTAAGTTTTCGGAAAGTTCATCGTTATTACTCGGCGAGTTCTTACTTAGATTAATCCAATAAATTTCATGTTGGCAAAGAATCCCCAAAGAGCACTTAGCCTCTCTCTATAGCGTTGGCATTTTTGTTTACTTTAAAACACAATATAGGTATTAATGGATCGTAGTGGTTCAATAAGCTATAGTTTAGTGTAGCTAATGTTGTTAGAAATGTATCAATATTAGATAATGATACTCAGCGTAAAATGATCAAATGCTAATTCATCAATTATCTCCTACTGACATTTATTGACAGCTTGTCAAGCGACCAGTGCTTAGCAAATAGAACGGTTAACTCTTTCATGACGTCATCGATGTTTAAAAACACATTCTGTTACTGCTAATATAAGTAAGAAAATATATAAGTATTCCTCGCGTTCAGTTTTGTAAAACACGATATACAGATGTATATAAACATATTTTCCTCACAGTAATAGCAGAGACCTTTTAGAATATTACTAATGAAAATGGGCATACACCATGGAGTTATTTTGCCCGGACCGCAATTGAATTCCAATTGTCAAGGATTATTTTACGTGCACGCGACCTCCACTTTTTCGTCCCATACGAACGACTAGATTATGTTCCTTGCCAGGGCCTCCGTCCTGCGCCATTGATACCGGGATCTAACCGGGTAGTCGCTGATTAGCGAACCAGCGCCATACACTCTGAGCCAGTGCGGCCCTTTACTAAAGAACACACGGGTTACTATCTATTAGTTTCTAATACACGCTGCACAACTAACTGCCCATCAATAACGCAGAACAACACAGAAAATTCAAACATAATGATCAAGTCCTTTACAGTGCCAAAATTAAATCGAATAACAAGATAAAAATGACAAGTGTATATAATGGTCAAATACAAAATGTTGGCGCACATACTGTTAGACATATCGAAATTCTTACGTAAACTTTCACAGGTGCATTAATACAAAAGTATAACAAAATCCGTTAGTTCTGTGCGCTCGTCAAATGAAAAATGCTATCAGCTTTTCAAAAAAAAAAGTAAGCATACCCTGTAGCGAGGACGACATCTGCCACTAGCGGTAGCCAACTTGCTCATGGACCATGATTTTATAAGGCTATCAGTTACTTATGCGATTTTCGCAAGTGAGCAGTATCAGGTATTTTGAAAAATGCAGGCATGCCCAATCTCGTGAATGATACTCGTCACTACTGATAGCTAACAAAAGAACCTTGTATTACATTTGGTTTAAAAAGGGCTTTGTGGGGACAGAGATCGGGAGAAGGGCATCGTTCTCGAACTCATCTACCAATGACATAATAATTGGATAACACCCGTACAATGTGTTATTCATGATAAATTTATCATGTGGAAAGGATTTTGAAAAATGTAATCTAGAACGAAGACTTATAGTAGACTACGCACAAAAGTAAGCTAAGTGGATTTGTATGGTGCGTAAGTTTCTTTGTGAAAACGGATCCATGTCGGGAAAATATACTATTAGTGAACTGAGTAATTATCAGCTGCACAAATTAAGACTAAACAGCTAATTTAATTTATAAAGATGCTAATGGATTGGAAATGTGTTATATTGTGTAAAACCATTTAACTATTAATGAAGACTAATTACCCTTGTGTCCACTCTGTACTTAACAGGACATCATCATATTGTCATGGATAACACAGAAGATAAAGCCTTCTTTGACTCGCCTGAAGACAGCCATTTGTGGTAATATTGTTGAATTGTCAGGTTTCCATAGAAAAACAGATGATATATTAGAATTACCAATATACGCGTCATGATGTCTATCGACCTGATGTCTATATTGTATGTGCTATATTAGTTTAAAGTGTACCTTATAAGAGCACCAGGTGAAATCATAAAGAGCTATTATCAAGGTAAATGGTACCAGAGGAAAAATAAGATATAGGTTTATTTCATGATTTCACGCCTATCTGACTTATAGTTATTACTAGTAACAAATTAATCTACTTATTATCTATACCAAATGAATTATAAATCGCAATTTCGCTTGTACTCGAAAAATATAATTGGGAGGATCTTAATTTATTAAGAATTATATTTATGTCCAAGTCCCATAATATGCAAGTTGTGTATCCATAGACTATGTTTCCTCTTGTGATTTTCTTTCTCATTTTCTGGGTAAATTTGCACGATCGCTTAGCTCGAAGAGGTAACCTTATATACCCGTGTTTCCTTTTCAAATATTAGAATACGGAAGAAATTGAGACCCACAGCTCATATGGTAGAGGCAGTGAGAGCACACAGAATAATCAGATTTGTAATGAAAGAAATATAAAAAGATCTGTTGCATTTAATTCTTGTGCTAACAAGTTTCGGGTTTTAAAATGTGATTTCTATTTCTACAAAGTTGATAAGCCCATTCCTCGAATAGTCACAAACCATATCTAGCAACAATTATTTGATACTGTAAAAAGAGAAATTTGGAAAAATTTAATTACAGCATTCATCATTCGTATAGGCCATTTATTGTATTAAATACTAAACACGTTATAAACTGATAAAAGCTAGAAGGATCATATTAGCAAAGGCCATATTTTTTATGCAATTTTCATTCTATCTATTTCTGGAACTGAGTTTGTCGAATAAGTCATTTACTACTGATTTATTTGATGAGTTTAATTGAACTTGTTGTTTTTTTCATCTCGATTATCTTCAGCGACATCGCAATGTCGTTACTTTTTTTAGAAACTTGTCTTATTTCTATTAGAGGAAAACGTGAACTGTCTTCTAATTTTATACTAAAACAATTTGAACAAACGTAAAAAAAACATTGATAATGATTACATCTTAGATTGAATTACCAGAAATTATTAGCAATACAATATTAAAAACAGTTCAAAGTTCTAACTGAAATTTCATTTTGTTAAAAAAAAACTATTCACCCTTGAAATGAAGAAAAACACAGAAAACGATATACATAATCAAAATTGCCTAAAAATTAAACTTTATTAGGTATTTAAATAAATTTAGTAATTTAGAAATCCCAAATCCTATAAACTTAGAATAATATTGACTGTCCGTATTCAATAATCTGATGAACGTAAGAAACTGGCTACTTTAGGGGGATAAGTTCCTCGTATCTTTGGAAGAAGTAAACAGTATGCCCTTTTTTTTATTGTGCCCATGCACTTCATTTACCGAAAAGACAGCCTTGCAGTTAAGGAACTACTTTGGGAATACATGTACTGAACACTTTGAGATAATAACTTTTATATCCTGTTTAACAAATATTTTAAAAAGTAGATTTACCTGTAATTTTCTATCTGAGCTGTAAATATCTGTACCATTAGGATAAATAGAATGAGCTGTTGTGATTCTACTTGCTGTTGCATTACGATATGAGGTAAAGTGCACGACACCTGTATAAACTAAACCTAACAAAGTTGCCAATCCAGTTGTAGATAAAAACAATATCCATATAATACAACACATACATTTCACACGACTATCATTATGTCCTTTTAGTCGGGGTCTATCAAACTCCCCATCATCTAACCACCCAACTTGTTGGGGAAGAGACACTGGTGATTCCTTGCCTGAAGTTCCTTCATGATCGTCCTCGTGGGTCAAGCACCCATCCGTCAATTCAGGGTACGAATCCATAGATAACGAATACACGGCACTGTACTTGCCACCCGACAACTTTGCCATTTCTGTGAGTCGTGGCCGGAGCCGATCCGCCCATACTTGAGATAGCTTCAGTTGGAGAATCTGGTGTGACTATCGCTCTATTTGATTATAGTGTGGGTATAATCAACTAGTCGATGAAGAATTGGATATTGAGAAGCAAGTTGAAATATTTTACAACCCAGGAATTATCCGGCAAACATTGTAAACTGAATCAATTCTAGTCACGCGCCAACATATTTAGAAGTGGCTGAGGGAAGAAAGTTGATGAATTCGCCTCCCCCTCTATATCAAGTTATACTTTTCCTCAAGCTGGAAAACAGTGAAGCGTACGACACCCTCTTACAAACTAACTACTTCAACTCGACTGACTTTTCTTATTTTATACAGCCTAACACATTACACACATAATTTGATCGGTGCGCTAGGAACATGAAATGAAAGTCTGCAACATCGACTAAAAGAGTTAGCCCCAATGACACGATGTTGAATATAAAGTATTAAGACCTATGATGCGATTGTATTGATTGTAAAGGTACGGCCAATAACCAGGCTATAGATTTATAGGGACGGTACGAGACGTTGTAAGTCTTACTTTGTGTCCTGTTCACACACCGCTTCGTCCGTCGTGATTCCGCAACTAGATAGCAGTTGATTTTGACGGCTTAATGGTCAGAATAAAATAGATCTTTTGAATTATCTAATCAATTTGTCTCACAATGACCCGTCCTACAGCAGTTATCATTGAAAACAACCGTCTTAAATAACCCTAACTCCACGTCGACCATCACTTCAAAATTCTCATTACCGCTTTCATAAGCGATAGATTATGTTATGAGAAAAAACTTTGGAGGGGCTGTCTGTAACTGGACGGAATCCTGCGATAATTACTCCCTCTTCTGTGATCTTTCAATTCATCAATGACAATAGAAGAGCGGCTGGTGTCTTGAATTAATGGCCAAAATTTTGCGGATGCCAGACTTGCTGTAATCTGTATTAAATGTAATGCTAGTTAACTGTAGCCATTCCAAATGAAATGTTTTCAAGTAAATTCTAGAAGTAAAATCTCAGACTTAAACCGTATGTTGGGGCAATTTGTCACGTTGTATCAATAAAAGCTTCCAACTGTTATAATCTCTTCAAAAATACTTATGTGGGGTTTCAGTAAATTTAATTGTTCTGACCTTTATAGACAGTTTTCGTTTTGCTAAGTTAGTTTTGGGTATATATATATATAACCTTGGGTATCATAACATAGTCGCGCCTAAATGTTCATCAAATACTCAAAACAATCTGAATACCAGGAAGCGAAAATAACATGAAATAAACCCGAACAATGAAGTTCCATCATTTCCCTCCCAAAACTATTGTTCCTAAGTTCCATTTTTTCCTGTCTAAACAATTACTCCAGTTATTTTTAAGCATTGTTAGGTCCTTACTTTGCTCTAAAATGTGATGCTCCTTCCCAATCGCCAAATTCACATAGCTTACAACTTTTACAACGGCATAATTTTCATAAAAATTGTCATTTCAAATGCAAATTCTTCTTATGTATTCATTGCTGCTTTGTATCTTGCTTAAACCATTTACAAATATAGGAGATCGTGTTTTAAAACTTACAAGTGAAATTATATTGATAATATAAGTACAGTTTACGGTGAATAACCCTGCGTTGAAGTAAAGATCTGATGGAAGCAGATAAAAGAAATAATCTATATTATACCTCCTGTTTTCTTACAAATTGCCATATCAAATATAAATTTCGCACATTCTCTTGTAACGTTGTACGTTCTGGCGAAAGTTGGTGGTATATAGTTATATGCAGACACCAAGTTGGGGTAGGCGATGACGTTACTTGGTTTGAAAGGGTCATTTAGAAGGTCATATAAAAACCAACGTTTTAAGAGAGAGAGATGGGGTTTAACGTCCACTCGACACAAACTAGGTCATTTCGGGACTACCATATGGTTTAATTTTATTTCAATAATTCGCTTGTGCGTAGGGGTCTTTATCAGTGGGAGGAAACCGGAGGACCCGGAGAAAACCCACGAGGTTGGACAGGCGACCCTACTCCTTGTCACGTACAACCGGGGATTCGAAACCACGCCAGTTGACTCAATGACAGGCTTTATGATACAGCGCGCACGTGCTAACCATTCGGCCATCCAACCCCCAACGTTTTAAGCCCTGCGAGTGTAGCATTCACACGGACATGCAGGATTCACTGCTGTAGTTGATTACGAACAGGTATATACTTTCAATCGACTATTTCGTCATCGGATGATGAGATGCGCATGTCCTAAGTTAAATGAACCTATCAATGCTAATCTGATCCATTCAGAGTGTCAGCTTCACCAATAAACCTTTCTAGAAGACATTTATGGAGTTGACGGGGGAGGGGGGTCTTCAATTGTTTTAGCTGCGTTCAGATGACAAAGTTAACGATCGACGGGTATTTTAAATGAAAGATGAACGGAAGTGTTGGATAACACCGTGTAGAGAAATCCGCTACAGGGTCGTATTAAAGCAAGGAAATTACAAGACGATCGCCTTTTTTTACATAGGTTGAGCGCTCAATAAGGATCAGCCATGGGTATTACCGTTTGATATATATATACAACAATAAGGTCTAGACATCCACCTTAAAACTCTTCCATTAAACCAGCTATGTTAAAATATAGACTGACATCTTGTTTAGACTTTGATTATTTATGTCCTTAACATGATTTCACCAACTGATCAAGACATAAAAAAGTACTTTCTATTCCCAAAGGCGCCAACTTAACTCTAATCTCAACGCCGGCTAATGATGCAATGTTTTCCTATCCAGATCTCATAAGTATTCCATGTCCATCCTTTTCACATAAAAGTGGTTTGGGGCAACATGTTTATAAGTTAAAGCGTATTCTCCAATAAACATGATGACAATACCACAGTGATTTGGGTGAACTTGTTAACATTTCAAGGGAGTAGTCGAAGAGAAAATATCAGACCAATTCGTTGCGTAATCAGCAACGGGTCAATACTTCAATTACTTGTTATTCAATTACAATGTGTTTGCAAACCATCGAAGCAAGTCCTGCATGTCAAAACTTGACTTGGGTTCCTCTAGCTAGAATGGAATCAAGTTCGGGTCTTTCAACAAAACTACTCTTCAAAGATTGAAATCATCCTTAAAGAACACATTCCATATATACTTGTCAGATTTGGTGGCGTAATTTCCTGTAATGACTATTTGTGAACGTTTTGAAGCCTGTTCTTATTATTTAGAAACAAAATCTGGTTAATATTTCATGTGCCACAGTTTATGGCTTTCATATGAGAAAATTAACAGTGGCTGGGACACCAACTCTCTCGATGCAGGGCCATCTTTATTCTGTTTATTTATCTCTTATAACAGTTATTTCCATACCCGATGGATAAGGGGTCATTCAGGTTCAGACAACCCCTACTCCCACACAGATTCGTTCTATTTAGGCTTTAAGACTTATATTTAAACAACATTTCGTCTATTTTCAACGGTATTAAATTTAGATTTGCATGAAAGTATTAAAGTTTAGAACTTTGGATAACCTTTATCAGAGGCATATGTTAAGCCCTGAAGACGGCATTATTGAACATAACCCTAACCCTTGTTTATTATACATAGTGTCCCAATAAAAAAAGTTACCCTAACACTAAACACTGTGGTTACGAATAACTTCTTTAACCAGTAATATCTAAAGGGGTTTCTATTTATTGTACTATTTTTTGCCACCACTTTAAAAACCTTGTGTATTTGAAACCTCTTAATATATATTAGATGATTGAATTACCAAATTAAACAATGGTGGAAAAACTATCAAATTTAACTCATTTGTAATATTATAAGATAGTTTGCACCAATATCCTCTTGTATTAGCTGTTAAATTCATTTACGTGCACGTCTTCTCTGTTCTAAATTGATGGAGGTCATGTTGGTTCTTTATTTATATATGTTAATAGTATGAACGAGATAACAACTGAACTTTTTGTCTATTTTTTGCCAATTAAAGAAGTTGCAGGCACGAGTTCTGTTTCTACTGAGATAATTTATATTAAACTTAAAGTTGAAATTTCATAGTTTTAAGTTATATTTTTAAAATTTATTAAAATAAAGCCTTAAAATAGATGGTTTCTATAAACAGTCCTACCTTGTTAAAGAATAATCCTATTAATCCTATAATTCACTATTGGCAGTTGAGAAATTGGCAAAAATATCATTTTCCTCTTCAAATTCAAACGTTTGAAAAAAGCTACTCCATGGTGGAGAATGGAAAACAAGGGAGGTAATTGAGAGGTAATTGTGTTATTAATTATTTCCGGTGTAAATGAGTTTTAAGTGTGAGAATGACATCTATGATCGTAAAATAGTGAGTTGACAACCTATTGAGCAAAAGACATAGAAATAATTAAGTTTTGACTTTCTTAGAAAATATGAAATTGTAACTTTAAGTTATATAACCTTGTACTATGTTATTATTTTTGCTTTTGATTGATCAAGTCCGTAAACACTTATCTCGTTCATTTAATAAATGGCGTTCATGTCATGACATCTAAAATTTCTTTATCATTCAAATTTTAAATTGAGAGTATTTGCATTTACTGAACTTGGAAGCAACATGTTTATTTTATTGATAACCCATCTACGGGTTTTATTATCTGGGCATAGGTGCGTTTGTCGGCAGGCTACAACAAATATGATACACAAAGAGAACCTGACCATCAAAGAAAATAAATATAATTATGAATATTATATAATTATAATTTATCCTTATACGAGATAATAAAAGGGTTTTCTTGTTTCCATGTATCCCTGATACTAACTCAGATTCAAATAGAGACAAATTAAGATAAAATCAATAGTAATTGTTTGGTATTGGAAACTTCACTCGTGGAAATCACAGTATAAAGGTTATAATGAAATAAACGTTGGATGGTTTCGACTTCCCCTGTCATAAATATAATGATCATATGTCTTGGGCAACCAGAGACGATAGTACACTTATTAAAAAATCAACGGTAGTTTTTCTGTAATTGCTTTAGACTATATCTAACAGTCTGGTCACGGGTCGATGATATGAAGGATGGATTCTCAGTTTAGGTCGAATTTGACAAAACCCATAAAAATCACGATTTTTAACTTTTTGTTCTAAACTGCCATATTTGTTAAATTGATTACTAAAGTAACTTATAAATATATGGCGATAGATCGTGTCACATGTGATTAAGCTTTAAGTGACAATTTGATGTATTATATCTTTATTATCCACGTTAATTGTGGTGTTAAATATTTGATATATTATATCTTTATTATCCACGTTAATTGTGGTGTTAAATATTTGATATA